TATTATTTAATATCAAAATGTGTCCGAAAATGTCAAAATATAACATTTTTAGAATTAACGTCTTTGCATGTCGTGTCAGAAACGGTGTAACATAGATGTTGGTCCCCAAATTTCATCATAAAATAATTGGGTTATATTTATTTTATGTAATAAGAAAATTATTATTTCATATTAAAGAAATAAAATTGTAAATAGAATCCACATATAAAAAAGAGAGAAAATAAATAAATATAAGACTCATCTCTACTTTATGAGTATAAAAAATTTGTTTATCTTACATGAGATAAGATAAATATAACTCTAAATAATTTTTGGGAACGCACAAAAGAATCCTCCCTTTCCCAAAATGAAAAAGCTGTCCTCTGCCCCGTTCACATGTGGTGCTCATTACACGCGTTCACATGTTTTTTGTCAGTGTTTACTTTTTAGTAACCAAACCTGTCGTGTTTTTCCCTTCTGCTGTCTCACGTTCTCATTTCCCCGTTAGATATCTCCTATTCTCCTTTCTCTCTTTCTTTTGTTTTTTTCCCATTAGATTTTAGGGTTCTATTTTTCTCATGTTGTAGGAGATAAGTATCTCCTACTATAGATACATAATATGGTAAAGCCCACCATCCATTAAAAAAAGAAAAAAGAAAAAATAATGTCATAACTTTTTATGTGAGAGAAACATGAGATAGTTATCTCATGTAAAATGAGACAATTATTTCCCTAGATTTTATTCCATTCCTTTGTACACATCTACTGTATCATGTATGTTCCAGACAAAATGAATCAATTTCATTTCTCTAATATATTTTTGTTCTTCTATTCGACTCATTTTTCCATAAAAAAACAGCTAAGGCTGTGAAAATTTTATATCACAAAACGTACATAGTCGCATAACTATTACATAAATTTTATATGGAAGCACCCTCTTGTATGATTGGAACGTGAACTCAAATTAAAATATATAAAAAAAAAAAAATCGTGGAGATACTCCTTTGATTTGATTTTGTAGCAATAGAATACTGACTCCTTTATTTAACAGTTACATAAATCTTGCAGTAATCTTACTTTTATTAAACTAGAACTGGATCACATCTTACTATTAGAGTGAGTGTAAAATTTAAAAACGAAAAATAATATGACTGATTGTAAGAGATTGGTTTAATATTGAATAAATATGAAATATATAAATAGTTACGCAGTTTTTTAACTATGTTAATTATTTAGAATTGTTATGAAAATTATTCTTATAAATTATGTGAACGGTTATATTTACCACTAAAAAAATTTATCACTTTTACAACCAACTTAATTACTGTTAGGATCATAACTAAATCCAATGGCTCACCATCATTCTTCATAAACATAATTATCACTCTTCAGCCTCTTTCACCTTCTATCTAGATCTGATAATTCTCTCTTCATTCCCTCTCTAGACACAGTTAAATAATCATCCAAAAATCAATATACATTAATTTAAGTCAGACAAATGAAATTGCACATAAAATCAAAACATGATCCAAATAAACAAACTATTATTATTATTATTATTATTCAATTCAACAAACAGTTGGATCGTAGTTAAGCATTTCACTTATGAGCACAGTTGCGGAAGTTTAAAAAATGACCGTCCATTTTGTTAATGACCCATTAATTAAACACTAATAGAGGCATTTGGTAGATAATAAATTTTTTCGTGCCCTTGGAATCATGGTTCTCAGAAATATGATGGGAAAGTCATTTCCACTATAATGTTATCAAAAAGTTGTTTGGTGGACTAAAATATTATCGTAATTTTGTCTCAAAAAAATATAAAATTTTCCCAACATTTAGAATTCCAAGAATACCATGCTTGGATAGTATTTTGGAAGAAAAATTGTACACAAAACAAAATTTCGAAAAAATTATATTCCCGAAAAATAGGATTATCACTATCATTTTCCAGGAAATCTCAAAAATATTCCTCTACCAAATGCTCCTTAAAAGTGAGATAGATAGATGTTGCGGAACAAATTGATGTTGTGATCATTCGTCTAGGGTTTTAATAGTTGAATGGAAGAAAATGGTTTTTTCTCTCTTCTCTAAGAGGGGAAAAGATGGAAAAGGCAAAAATCGGAAAAGATTAGGAGAAGCGAGTTTAGCCGTTCGTAAATATTACAAATCTCACTATACCGTAATTTTATCAGTTTTTCATGTAAAATTATCAGTTTTTAATGTGGAATTAGAAGACCTAGCGAGAGGATTAAGAGCGATATGGTGGCAGATAACATAGCTAACTATTCTAAAACTGGGGTGGCCTGACCCATCTGGTTAGAAGATTTCCCGCACTTTGTAAATCAGTTTTTTGCTAAGGATGCTAGTGACCATGATGATTAGTATCGTGAATAAAGGATTAAACAATATGAATCCAACGTGGGTATCGGAATAGACTATGAATTGCTTCTTGGATGGCAGAATCGTATGATTAAGTTCCATATAGCGAATAATATCAGGATTTGGGATTCGAGAATCTGATTTTTTTACTTTAAAAAAAATAAACAACCAAGAAATCTGAGAAATGAGATTCAAATCATGGTTTTTTTACCATTATGCCACTAATTAAATTAAAAATTACAACTATGCCCCCGAATCAAAATATTTCATCAATCTATTTTTATTTTTTTTGGTAAACATAATGGGGAAAACCACCAAGACCAATTCAAGTTAAAACAACATTGCGAAAATTACAGACTAAAGAAAAAACTGCCAAATACAGAGGCAAAATACCAGGGGAAGGGGAGCTAAAAATACACAGATTGATTATTATTTCATCAATCTATTCTTATTTGACCGTTAACCGAGTTATATACTCAAATATAGGGGTTGATTATTTTTTGCAAAACAATGTATATTCGGGTACTCTAGTTGGGTACTCGAGTACTATTCTTCATCTGACTTTTTTCTAGCATTATGTATTTGAGTACATGGGTAGGGTATTCGAGTATTCGGCGCGAGTTAGATTTTTTTTATTAAACCCTCATATAACACATTCTTGACCGTTGATTGGACCAAGTAAGTGATTACAACATCCACGTAATCGATTACACCAGCATACGGTAATCGATTACTTATATGGTCATATAAATTTGTGTCCAAGAGAATTTTTGGATCGAACAAGTTTTTATGGTCATATATTTATAATATTGGGCTTGACTCGAGTGACCTGAGGAGAAGCTTTGTGGTATCACAAGATCTATTTGCATTACAAAATTTTGGATATTTTATCGTAAAACTTCATAAGGTTGTAACTTTTTACTCTGGTGTTCGAATTAGGTGTGTTTTTTTTGTTTTACGTAATTTTTCGAGAGCTACGCGTAGGGGATTTGGTAAAAAAAAATCCCAAAAAATGCTTTTTTGTGCCCCGTTTGACATATTTTATCTTTGTGAACGATATTTAAATTTTTACTCTCCAACACTAACAAATAATCTTCAGAGAATATTTTACGAGAAATATCATACTTTTTAAATAGTTTAAAAACAGAAATATAATGATAATTTTTAATTTAATTAAGGTCATAATGGTAAAAAAAAAACCTTCAAATTCAAATCATGGAGAATCTAAAAAAGACATTTAATGGAATACTAGGGATTTTCAAAATCTCGACTCCCAACTAAATTCTAAGGAACTTTCGTTCACGGTTGTTCTTAGGGAATGTTTGGTACGAGTATTTAGTATGAAATGATGAAAAAGTGAGGTAAAAAATATTTATTTACCATATTTGGTATGAGTATTGTGAACAAAATGTCAAAAAAAAAAATTTACCCAGTATTTATTTTTTAAACTACACAAAGGCAAATTTGTGTCCCACTTAATTTTTGGTTTTTTTTTCCCTTGATCTTGGATTCTCAAAAGGTACATTTGATTCACTTTTTCTCAAAAAAAAGCAACATTTGATGATGGCATAATGAAAAAATTAAGGGTATTTTGATAATTTCATTTACATTCCCATCAATATTTTACCATCAACCAAACATAGCATAAGCAGGATTAACCCAACTTTTTCTGCAAAATTTTGGCCAACCAAACACTTTTTTGTAACTTACCCTGGATAAAAAAATTTCTATCAAATCCCTAACAATCTTTTTTTCTCAGTTAAAAAAAAATATCTCTTATACCAAACGCCCCCTTAATTCTTTGTTCCAAGCCAAAACACGTAAGAATAAAAAACAAAGGTTACCCAAAAATTTGTTTTAAATTTGATTACTTATATGTTTTTCTATTAGGATTTTTTTTTAGAAGAACATAATCATTTTACATTAGTGTAAATTGCATTCTCAATGTTAATCATTAATCATATATATCTAACGGTCCAAATTTATTAAATATATGATCCGTTAAATGCAAGTACATCAATAGTAAGGTTGAGTATAAAAAAAATTATTTTACCCCTTTTTAAAATTTTGATTTGTATGATGTTATATATTTTTAAGTCTTATTTATTATATTTCTCAATCTTACACGTCGATTTGATTCACGTCCATTTCTAACATATTTCAGCCAGCTTTATACATGTTAATTGAAGACTAAGTGCTTCTTTTAGAATTTTTGTTGTCATTACTAAAGGTATGCGCTCTTTTTTATATCTAATTGTAATTGTAACATGTTTGATTTAGCTTTTAAAAAATCCTAGACTGGAGTCTCGGCAAAAGGTTGTCTGTTATATCTTCTTTTTGAAACCATGTCTTTACAATTTCTACAACTAAACCATACACAAAATGTACCTCTCCCTTTCACGTTTGCATCGGTGCGATTTGCACTCTCTCCCAGTAGAACTTTGAAGTTTTGGATACTGGACAGTTCAGGCACGAATATAACTGAAATCTAGTAGTGTTTAAAATATATTTGACTTGCTTTGCATCAAATTCGTCAAAAATATGTTGTAATTTGCTTTTTTGCAACATTAATAGAATGTAGCTAAAGTGTTTAAAACGTAAGTATGTCCTTCCTCAAGCACAAAAAGGGAAGAGTACTCTTATTCAAATAACTGACGTAGTAAGGATGCAGGAATTACACGATATCTGCATAAAATACACCGAATTGATCCCATGATATGCAAAAAACCATTGTAATAAAATAATATCATTAGGTTGTGGAGGGAGTGAAGCCAATTTTTAACACTCAAATAACTTGGGATATGGCTTCCTTGCTTCCTACCTTCCAAGTAGCAATGAAGATTCTGTAACAATTCAATAAAGTAAAAATTCATAAATTTCAATATAATAAAAGCAGAATAATTAAGTACAATAAACATATACATGAAGTGTACATATAAATATACAATTAATTATACACTTGAGTTCTTTTTGTATTTGTATGAGTTATCTTTGTATACATATAAATATACTTAATTATAGAATGTAGCTTCTCTATTTTAACCTTTGGCTTACCTTCTTGAGGAGAATTTTCTTTGTGCTTTTCTTCTCCTTTCTTTTCACTAATATAATAGACTTGATCTTCCGGTTGAGTTATAGGTGAGGGGATTTCTTTGTCAAAGAATTTGAAAATTGATTGCTCCTCGTCTACCCGTAAGATCAACTCGCCTTTCGATACATCAATCAGCGCTCCTAAGGTTGCCAAGAAAGGTCTTCCGAAGATCATAGGAACAGTAGAATTTTCCTCTATATCAAGGATGACAAAATCAACAGGAATGATGAATTTGTCAACCTTTACCAGTATGTCCTCGATGATGCCATAAGCTTGCTTTGTAGAGCGGTCAGCTAGTTGCACTATTGTCTTGGTTGGCTTTACTTCAGTGATCCCCAACTTCTTCATCATAGATAGTGGCATAACGTTGATGCTGGCCCCAAGATCGCATAGAACATTATCCACTTTCACATTGCCTATGTTGCACGGAATGCTGAAGCTTCCTGGATCTTTTAGCTTTTGAGACAACTTTTTCTGGATAATGGCACTGCATTCCTCTATCAGAGTCACCGTCTCACATTCCTGCAGCTTACGCTTTCTTGACAGTAAATCTTTCATGAACTTCACGTAATTGGGCATACTCTCCAAAGCTTCAGCAAACGGGATATTGATTTGCAGCTTATTGAAAATATCAAGGAACCTGGAGTACTGTTGCTTTTGAATTTCTTGTCTGAACCTCTGTGGATATGGAATCTTTGCATAAGGTGAGAGCTCAAATGGCTTTTCTTGCCTTTCTTGAGCTTTCTTTTTCTCCCATTTGAACTCTTTCTTTTTAGGAACAACTTTTTCTGCAGCAGATTCTTTGGTAACTTTCTTTTCTTTTCCCCCAATATCAGCATTGGCATCAGCTTCATCTCCTTTTTCCTTTTCCTCATTCCTTTTCTTCTCATCAGAATTCTTCTCTATAGGTTGAATGACTTTCTCACTCATAGTAGTAATTGCATTGCAGTGTTCCCTTCTTGGATTTGGAATGGTCTCACCTGGAAAAGTACCTTGAGCCCTCTCAAAAATTTGCTTGGATAATTGCCCGATCTGAGTTTCAAAATTTTTGATTGATGCTTCTTGATTTCTCATTGCAGTTCGGGTTTCTTGCATGAAGAAAGTTGTCTCATTTCTAAAAGTTTCTGAACCTTGGATGTAATTATTTGTTGTCCTTGAGAGTTGCTTCAATGCTTTTTCCAACTCAGAAGGATTACTTTGTGAAGGTTGTGACTGTGGTGGAATAGGTGGGTTGAGCTGGTGTTGAGTGGAGTTGTAATTGAATCCAGGGTGATTTTTCCACCTTGGATTATATGTATCACCATATGGACTGCTTTGATTCTTCTGTAAGTTTCCTGAATTTCTCTGATCATTCCAGATTCCATTCATTGATGCTGCTTCAGTTCCTCCAAGAGCTCCACAATTGGTGTTCTCATGCTCTCCTCCACAAAAGTCACAAATTGGTGGAGGTGGCTGTGTTTGGATTGCATATGCTTGAAATTTTTCAAAGATTGATGTGAGGGACGTCAATTTTTGAGACATTGCCTTCTGTGCAGCCAACATAGCATCATTACTTTCCAGCTGATATAACCCTTTCTTTGACTGTGTCGGAACACTTTCATTCTCTAAAGAAGCCATAGATTCAAATAACTCCAATGCTTGAGTGGGAGTTTTCTATCTCAATGACCCTCCTGCTGCGGCATTAATGACCATTCTGGAAGCAGGTGTTATTCCGTTGAAGAATATCTGCACCTTAGGTCCAGGTTGCAATTCATACTGAGGACATCTTCTTTATAGATCGTTGAATCTTCTCCATGCAGCACAAAGAGACTCCCCTTCCTGTTGGGTGAAATTTGAAATTTCATTGACCAACTGATTATATTTGGTCATATGGAAAAAGTTAGCCAAGCATTTAGCAGCTAAGTCATCCCATGAAGTAATGCTTGCAGTAGGTTGTTGATGAAGCCACTTAAGAGCCTGATCTTTCAACGAAAATTGGAACAATCTCAGGCGGATGACATCATCTGCTACCCCGTTCATCTTCACTGTGTCACATATCAACAAGAACTTATCAAGATGAAGATGAGGGTTTTCTTCGTCATTACCAGCAAATTGATTTTGATGAACTACAGAGATTAAAGCTGGCTTAATCTCAAAGTTGTTTGCAGCAACATTTGGTCTGATGATACATGAGGTATTTCTTGGCACGCTCGGAGTGAGGAATACATCCATCAACTCTTCTGGCAGATTGTTGTTGTTATTCTCTGCCACTGTTTCTTCCTCTCTTATCACAGAGCTTGATGCTTCTTTTTCTTGCTGTCTTCTTTCTTTGGCTAACTTTCTGTTTCTTTTTGCTGTTTTCTCTATCTCCGGGTCGAATTGCAAGGAATCAGTGTCAATGGCACCTCGCATAAACCAGAAATTAGAATATAAAATTTAAAATTAAAAACTGAATTTAAATAACAAAAAATTTAAATAGCAGAAAATAAGGTCCAATCTAAAAAATTAATAGCTACTATTAATGTTGAAGTAATAATCCCCGGCAACGGCGCCAAAAACTTGTTGCTACTCACGGCAAGTGCACCGATCGTACAAGTAATATAATGATTGAATAAGAGATCGTTCCCACGAGGATTATACTCAAGCACTAATTCACTATCGCAAATTTAGTTAGACAATCAAAGTTGTATTTGGAAACAGAATTTGAGTTGAAAAATTAAAATATTAAAACTAATTGATTGCAAGAATTAAAAGCAAGAAAGTGAAGATTTGAATAAACTAATAAAATAAAAACGTAGCTAGGGTTTCGATTTCCTTCAATCTCTTTATTACGTTTGAATTCCTTCCTTACGTTAATCGTCCTTAGTATCAATCTAATCAATTCTTTCGCATGTTATTAGAGCTCAATCCCTTGTTACCCTAAAACCTTTACAATCTTGAAAGAATCCTAGTTCCCCGGTTATTCCCCAAGAATGCAAGCATTAAGTTCAAGAATCTTAAAGATTACGCAAACCCTATGTTTATCCCTATAATCATAACGTTTACGATGAAGTTATCAGATATGGATCACACACCAACATCCCTATTGTCATGCATTTACTTATGATCAATATATAAGATTCAAGCCTATATAAAGCATTAAAAACAGATAACTTCATTCATGACATAAAGGAAAATTAACATAGCGAATTGTTCAAAACATAATAAAGATCTTGAATTCCATCTAACCCTAACTACTTAAGAAACTAGCCAAACATAGCAAAATCAAGAACAAAAGACAATATAAAAGCTCCCCCAAACTCCATAGGTGATTGGTGAATCTTCAATATCTCCAGTGAAAACTTGATGTTGATCCGTCTCCGCTGCTCACGAACATGAATATGATGTTTCTCTGCGTTCCTTCAGCCTCCAAGCACCCAAGAGTTGTTTTGCAATGTAAAAGTTATGTATTTCTGGTCCCCAATGGTGTTTATATAGGTCAAGAGTTCGCATCTTAATAAGACACCTTGAATGGGCCTAAGTTGGATCTGTCGGGGCGCTTAAGCTTGCTGTAGCGCACTTAAGCTCCCTAGGACGTTGATGGCAAACGCGCGTTTGCGCGCTTAAGCGCACTTGAGGGCGCTTAAGCGCGCTCCTCGTGACAAAACTTTCTTCTTGTGGCGCGCTTAAGCCTTTTGGAGCGAGCTTAAGCTTGCTAAGGCCGAACATATTTGCTTGTACAGGATGGTTTAGCTTGCTAATTGGGGCTTAAGCTTGCTTAGGCAGAGGTCATTTGCTGATTTTTGGAGGCTTTAGCTTCGAATTGGGGGCTTAAGCCCCCCTCTCTAACAACTTGATAATCTTGATGAGATCTTTTAAATCTTCTTGTTTTGATCTTCATCTTTCATATCTTCAATTCTTCCTCCTTTTATCTTCAAATTCCTTCAAAATAGCAAATGTATATCATTTAATTGATAATTAATCATAATGTTCATGATTATTGTATTAAAACCCTAGTTTTTGACTTATTTAACTTGATAATTTATATTAATTTAGTCTATAAAACAAGATAAACTAAAAGTTTATCAAGTACTAATTAGTTCCAAAATAGAACATGCTGCTGCTAGCTACACTAACGCTGCACAAGAGATAAAAATAAGAAATTAACTAGGTCTCTTTTGATAACGCTATCCAATGTTTCTGTTAAGTATTTTTATTATCAAATGTTCATATTATTAATTTATTATCATTTCAATATAAATGGGACAAATATTTCTCCTTTTGAATGATATAACTTTGTGTCATTTTAAATACTAATCGTTAATTTTTATTAATCAAAAGTTATAATTTATTATGAATTACTAATTAATTATAACTGTTTGACCCAATAAATTATAACCGTTAATTGAAAAAAATCAATAGTTAGGATCTAAAATAATACAAAATTATATCCTTTAAAAAAATAAATATTTTTCACTATATAAATATATATTTTTGGGAGTATATTAAAAATTATTTTTTTTTCTTTTTTCAGAAGTTTTTGAAAGATGATCGGCTAAAAAATGAGAGCCAAAACTGAAAAGTGATAATAAACCTGTGATTTTATTGTAAGTTTTAACAACATTTACACATGTGGTAAGTGTTGCTAAATAAGACATGTGCACCAGTGACGGATGCTGTTCTTTAATTGTTCCATATGATTTATTTGTGAAACATTGAAGGAAGCAGAATTTGGTTAGTTTAGTTTCGAGGGTCCCTGATTTTATGAAAGAGACAGTAAGTAAGGCATGTGGCTTATTGGTTAAAAACAAGAAGTAAACGTCAATATATACTTTTTTAACTCCGTTCCCAGCAAAAGCAAAAGTCAGTAGCACTAGCATTGACTTGTTTGGAAGCAGCCATTCTAAATTTAATTGGGCAGTCCCTAAGTCGTATTAAATTTCTAAGAAAATATCTATTCGGATGCGAAGAAGGAGAAATTAATATTCGATTAATTTTGTGTTTGGAGAGGGATCTTCTCAACTTAGACTTTTTTTACATTTCATCATGTAATGATATATAATATTTAATATTTATTTAATGTGTTACATATTATATTTAAAAAGGAATTAACGTGTTATTTCTGAAGAATGCAGGTTCATTTTTTTATTTTTTATTTTTTTTGGAATGATGCAGGTCATTTTATGCGGTTTAGCAATCAGCAGTAACAATGTAACCAACGCAAGCCGACTGATTTTTGTAAATGTATAGTTATGATTAAATAACACGATCATTTTTTCATACGAAAAGATCCATACGTGGAGAGATAAAAATACTGATTCAATATATGTGTTTAAGTGTGAATGGGTACGTGCAGAGGTCCCACGTGGTGGACTGGTGGTGTCGATATGACCGGAATCCATGGTCCATGCTTTATTGCTGACATAAAAGAAATGAGGTCATTATTTGTATCATTTTGCATCATTATTTGGATCATTTTGCATTCACATACAAAATATCAGCGATCCAAAGGCTGAGATAAAAGTAGCGTGATAAACGAGCATGTTTATTGCTGCTCTCTCCATCACCGTTCACTGACTGCAGACTGCATCTACATCACTGACAGTACTATTGAATCAATGATTGATATATTTGTATCATTTTTTTATTTTAAAGATATTTAAAAAAAAAACTATTGATCATTTATTAGTAAATAATTTTTATAAAGTTGTTTACGAATTGAATATATTTTTTTAGATAAATCATCAAAGTAATTCTGTTTCCACCCCACTAGTTTAGATTCCATACGCCACATGAATTACCCAACATTTGGTAAAACTGATTATATTTAGAAGGAGTGTGAAAAAAAATGGTTCATTTATCCTGTCCTTGACCTAACTCATAAATAACTATATTTTTTGAACTGATTTAGACCTGACTTGTTTTAAATTGACTCATTGACCCAAAACTTGACTCATACCCATTATGTGAAAAAAAAAAAGAAAATCACAATTACATTAAAAGAAAAGTTTTAACGTAAAACAATTACGTCAAAATTTTTTACGAAAAATATTTCCATAAAAAATTTTCGCAAAATTTTTTGACGAAAAATATTTTCCTCAAAATTTATGACTAAAAACATTTCTATAAAAAAATTTGACGGAATATTTTTTTATGGAAATCTAAATTTCGTCAATATATTTCACAAAAAAATATATTCATCAAAAAATTTGACGAAACACATTTCCATTAAACTTTATAGATTTCGAATTTCGGCGAAAGTTTTTGACGGAAACATTTTCATTAAATTTTTTGACAAAAAAAAATTTCGCCGAAGTTTTTAGCGAAACACATTTCTATCGAAATTTTTTGACTAAATATTTTGTCAAGTTTTTTGATAAAAAATATTTACATCAAAATTTTCAACGGAACACATTTCTGTAAAATAATTTCGTAAAAATTTTTGACAAAAAATATTTCGATAAAAATTTTGACGTAAAAATATTCTGTTAAAATTCTGTAGAGAATCTAAATTTCGTCGAAAGTGTCGAATGAAACATTTCCCTCAAAACAATTTCCCTCAAAAAAATTTGACGAAAAAAATTTCATCAAAATTCTATACAGATTTCAAATTTCGGCGAAAGATTTCAACGAAAAAAATTTTGTTAAACTTTTTGACAAAAAAAAAAAATTCGTCAAAATTTTTAGCAAAACACATTTCCATCGAAAATTTTCAACTAAATATTTTCATCAAGTTTTTTGATAAAAAATATTTCCATAAAAAATTTCAACGGAACAATTTCTGTAAAAAAAAATTTCGATAACAAATTTTGACGGAAAAAATATTCTGTCAAAATTCTTTAGAGAATCTAAATTTCGTCGAAAGTTTCGAACGAAACAATTTTCTCGAAACAATTTCCGTTGAAATTTTCGTCAGAACACATTCCCATCGAAATTTTGAACGAAAAACATTCCGTCAAAATTTTTTATAGAATTTTTTTTTCGTTTAAACATTTGATGGAAGAAATCATTTTCGTCAAAACTTTTGACGGAAACTTAATTTTGATAGAAAATTTATTTTTGTAAAAATTTTCATTAGAGAAAAAATTTCGTTGCTTTTCGACGAAAAAATAATTTTGTGACGAAATTCTCGTCATTTGCAATGTAGAAATTTCGACGAAATTTTGTGAGGAAACCAAGTCAAAAACGGGTCAGGTCAGATTTGACCCACATCAGAAACCAAGTCAGGTCAGATCCTATCAAGTTCTGAACTAGTTCAACAAAATCCAAACCAAGTCAAACCTGACTTGGATCAAATTAAAGCGGGTCGGGTCAAAATACCTGACCTATAAAAACCAAGTTGGGTCGAGTCGGACAAAAACCTGACCCGACCTGACCCACGCACAGCCCTAATATTTAGTCAAGTGTTGGATGATTAAAATTTCAAATGTAGTTATTAAAAGGGGATAGGTTATTTTGTCTGCTCTTGTTTTGCCTACATGTCTCAACACCGATAAATTACAATCTCATATAAAGATAGAGATTTACGATATAAAATCAACCATTTTACTCTTTCCTCTCTCCCACTCCCCTTACACTTTTTCTCTCCTCTCTTTTTCTCTTGCTTGCTCCAGCAATTATCCTTCTTGATACACTTGTAATTGACAGATTCAAAATCAAAAGACAACATGATAAATTCTTTGAATGATAACGAAAATGAATCTTTAAATTCTTTGAATGATACTGGGTAATCGTTTGAAGGAGCTGCACCATCCTTGGCTTCAAATCAAAATTTGCTTCTAATTCTGGTTGAACTATGCCTGGGATCACCCCATCGAGAGATGGAATTGCATACTCCATTAGGGGCAGCTCTTCAATCACTGGGACTATGGCATTTCCATTCCCATTTTCATTAATCCCGTTTTCATTGTTCTCATGGATTGAGTTGTTTTCGTCTGCCATAGTGTAGCTATCAATCAATCTCCTTTGGTAATCAGATTTGACAGAACGTCTGTAACCGTGCTTTTTTTTTTGCGTTCAGAATTAGTAAACTGCAAGAATTAAAAAGAATTCAGAACTTGTCAAAAATTAAAAATGTAACATAATCACAAATTCAAGAAACTAAACCAAAAAACTTCAAAAAGAAACTAAATCATGCACCGTTCCCTGACAACAGCGCCATTTTGTTGGTTAGGATTTTTGTAAAAAGAAGTATAGAATTCAAAGAATTCAAGTATCGTTATCTGGGAACGGGAAATTCAATTTCTTTTGGTTATTCCTTTTTTTGTTTTTCTTGAATGCGAATGTAATGGCTTTTTCAATGGAAGTTATATTTTCTAAAATGCAAATTATAGTAAGAATGGTAAGAACACGTTTATATGAGTAAAAAAATGAATATTAAAAGTCTAGAATTCTGATTTTAATGACTTTCCCTTAAAAAATTGCATGTCTGCGTTTAACTGTTGTAGCACCTATAATTGATGGAATTTGAGTTTTTGTAGAACCTCACTAAACTTTCCCAAATTCAGTTCTAAAATGATTCAAATTAATCCCTTAATTTTGAATCATTTTACTGATGACTTGTAATCAAATTCTTCCTAGATTATTCCTAATCTTGAATTGAATTAATGAAAAGCATAAACTCAAATTTCCCAATACAAGTTCATGCAATAATCTTTAAGCCCATTCCCATGGAACTTAAACCAAGAAATATTCACTACTCATACATCAAGAACATGCACAACAGTTCAGATCAGTGTACCCGGCTCGGAACGATCGGGTCGACCCGGTGGGTTCCCCTGCCCGAGCGGGTAGTTGGACCGCTTCTACAGTCAACCCGGATTGGACCAGTTGACCCGGCCGAAACCCGACGATCCGGTGACCCGGTTGACCCGGGTTAGACCGATTATCCCTTCTTCTTTTTGGGTAAAAAAAAATTTTTTTTTGATAACAAAAAATTTTTTTTTTTGTTGATAAGAACTCTTGAATTAAATCATATTCATATTTTATGATGAATATGATTCAAAGTAAGGTGAAAATAATAAGGTATTTTAGATTAGTGCAGTTAATTTATGTAATTTAGTTGCATCTTATAATGATCTCATGAAGTTAAGTGGTGATAAACACTGATAATCATCTCAACGGTGGATACTTTTTTTTAGTGTATATTTCATGCATACTATTTGTTATCAAACATATTTTTTTTTTCAAAAACTGTTCCAAGGCACAGAAATAGAAAAGAATTATTTCTTTTCAGAAACAGTGTCAAGAAACAGAATGGTTGTCATGCACACCCTTAGTAACTGACAAATATATTTTGAGATGAATTTTCTCATATACATACAATAAATAAATAGAACCATTTTATTACTTTCTCTCTCCTCTCTTAATTGGTCTCACGGTCTCGCCCACCTTATTTTATGTATTGAATGACACAAAATTCTAAAAGTACTGGAGATTTAATAATTATTGTTATTTAATGGGCTTCCGTGGATCCCCATAAAACCAAGGCTCTTCGTGCTGTGCTACTGTTGAAGACCGACTATAATCGCAGAACCCACATCTTCTACTTTCTAATGGAGCATTCATGGGAGAATCAACCTTTTCATATGGTAATATTACTAATATATACTATAGCTATCATACTCATTACTCATAATATATGTTGGATCGTTATATTAATATAAATTTTATCATATGGATGGATAATAATATCATACTCTATTGTTAATTTAATATAGGAAATGGGTCATGATAATGATTTCCTAGAGCAGAGCCTCAGTGATGTGGAGGAGGAGTTCCTCAGAGAAATCCTGCAGCAACCGATTCTCTCTTCTGAAAGTGAAACTCGATCTTTTGTCCAGAATGACTTCACCGCCACATTTGCCGGTGCCCCCGCCGCCGCCGCCGCCGCCACAGACGGTAGCAGTTTATCCTCAAATGAGATCGGAGGAGGCTCCAATAGGCCTGTGAAAAGGCCTCGCCCATTGTCCTCTCCAAGAACATTCATTTTATCTTTCGATAACTCGACCATAATACCAGCTACCCCAGAATTGGTAAGCCTAGGAACATGTTCTTCTAAATCTAATTCCCCTTTGTCCTCCAAAAAACGGATCCTGGAAAATCAAAACATTGAACCAAAACCAAAGACCACACAAGGAGCGAAGAGGGGTAGGAGCGATTCTCAGACTCTGGATCACATCATGGCAGAGAGAAAAAGGAGGCAGGAACTAACAGAGAGGTTCATAGCACTTTCAGCAGTTATTCCTGGCTTGAAGAAGGTAATTTGTTACTTTCACCCAATATTTATCATTCAATGATGCACTTTTGTTTACATGTTCGTTATATGTTTTAGATATCAGATAATCCTTTTACAAACAAATTTCTAATTTCTGAAGTTAAAATGATGTTTGAGCCTTTAAGATACTTAGGTTAATAATTAAGTAATTATAAGATTGGAATACATTCAATTTGAATGAATAGCTGTTTCTCATGTTAAATTTTCATCTAATCCTTTATCTATCTAATTTTACCAGAGAAATGAGAGAAAATGCTGATAAGTAGTGGATTGATAATAAAAAAAAATTGTGTGAGAATATTCTCCCCCTTCGTCTTAGAGTTTGTTTGGTGCGATGTATAAGGTCTGATAGTATAAGCTTATACTATACGTTATGACATTTTCAGTTGTTTGGTTTAACCATCGTATAGTATAAGCTTATACAGCAGGACCCTTTTATACATCAAAATGATGTATAACTTAATCCGACATAGGAGTGGTAGATTAGGCCTGATAAGGGGTTGAGGTATTAATATTGATTACAACTATAATTCCCAAGAACTAATATATCATTTCAATATTTATATATTAAAATAAAATTTTTTAATATATTAATTTTTAAAATATTGGAGGATATTATCTTATACAATATCATACCAAACGCTGGATAGTGTTAAAATTTAATTAGGTCTTATCCAATCAGGTCTTATACTATCAGATCTTATACTATCAGACCTTATCCTATATTATGCAGCAAAGATGCCCTTATACGTCAGTTTTGACATTCTGTGTAGGGGTTTATGTTCTAATCGTTTTTTAATTCTTTCCCTTTAAAATGATTAATTTTTTTTAGAGGGGTTATATTGATAATTTTTTTTTATAAATTTATATGTTATATTATATTTGACCATTTAAATATAATATAATTTTTTATAAACAAGAAAGTTATAAATATAATTTTTTTTAATTTTTTATATGTATTATTAGTTTAGTACATGATGTCATTTGATTAATTCTTGATAAGCATCATATCGATGACAATGGGGTCTTGGTATTTCCAAGACAAAAGCCAGAGGATAAAATTAAAAAAATAATAGTGTAGAATAAAGCGAAAATAATAATATCAGATATGAGAATGAGGGAATTTTATTCCATAATCCTTTTTTTCTTTTTTTCTTCTCCCTCTCTCTCTCCTCTTTCTCTCTCTATTTTTTTCTCTATAGAAGGACTAATGTGCCGGGGATATGCCAGATAACCGGACACAGTATAGTAATTTAAATAAAGTTGAATATGCTATTTCTTAATTACTTTGAAAGCAAACTTTTTCTTTCCTTGTATTTTAAAAAAAATAAAAAATAAAAAAAATTCCGAAAATGCATAGGACATTGCACGCTATTAGAATCGCGAGTGAAGAGAACATTGTGGGAAGTTGGGACGTGCTGCAGAATATTTTATACCAAAGAGGAAAGACTCGCTGTATCTGTACGGTTACGTTGGTGTGTCTCATAACTCGCAAGGATTACATAAAAAATATGTTATTTATCACTCTTCGCATTGAACTATGCGGTTTATATTTTTTAATTTTTTGTTCAAGTAAACAGATAATTTAGTTTAATAATTTTTTTTTCTAAATTCATTTACGTGTAAGTTAATTTTTAAATTTATAAATAAACTTGGATGCAATGAACTGCGAACATGTGAAGGGACATAAACTAAATGGTTTCTTATAATTAATGTTTAGACGGACAAGACTAATATCCTTCGTGAAGCTATCAATTACGTTAAACAACTTCAAGAACGTGTAACGGAGCTAGAAGAGCGAAACATGAGAGGCAAAGAATCAATGATAATCCTCAAGAAGGCTGAAGTTTGTGCAAATGAAGATAACACTTCAAGTGAAACAAATTCCGAGGATTGCTGCAGGGGCAGCGAATTGCTACCTGATGTTGAAGCAAGAGTCTTGGAGAATGAGGTACTCATTGAGATCCATTGCGAGAAGGAAAATGGCATTGAGCTCAAACTCTTGGACCAGCTTGAAAATCTTAATCTATTTGTCACCGGCAGCAGCGTATTGCCGTTTGGGAATTCAACTCTTGGCATTACTATTATCGCTCAGGTAGAGTCACTTAATCTTTGCACATATTATTGAATGGTTAATTGATATAAATTATGAGAAATAGTTTTCTCATTTTATATGAGAAATTTTTTTTATGCTATACTCATAATGCATGAATGAGTCTCATTTTGATTTTTTTTTTGTCTTCTCATCTTTTCGTGGACTCACTCATGTATTGTGAGTGTAGCATAAGAAAATTTTCTCAAAAAGAAAATTAATTCTCATAAATTATAATTGCGTTACGATAACTCTATGAATTTGCTTTGCAGATGGGTGACGCGTTTGGAATGAGGGCGAGTGATTTAGTGAAAAGCATAAAGCAAGTGCTTTCAAATCACATATCCAGCTATACAGATCCGTACTAGTGTATCAAACTCGTGTGTGGACTTTGTCTGGGAAGTTTAACGTTATGTGCACCTAGTTGCGCTTTATGAGTTGTTACTTTTTTGTAACCTTGCGCCTTTATGAGTTTGGTTGCGCGCTATGGTCTTTGTGAAATAGTTTAATCTAGTCCGGAGTAACGAGCTCTCTAGGCACTAGCAGTAGCAGTGCTTCTCAGTTTGTTATTGTTTATAAAATAAGTGTGTTTTGGATGAATTTATGTTCCGATTTTATTTTTTATTATAATATTCGAGGGTTGGTCTTGTTATTAAAACTGGTCCGGTGACTGACCCGATCGAGGTACTGAATTATTGGGTCACTGATTACCAGTGGTTACTGGTTCAACCACATGACTCGGTAAAAAATTAGGGAGGGTTAGGTTTATAACTTTTTTTTGTTTATAACTCTTACAACTTCAACTATGTTCTCCCTGGAGTGTACTCCCGGTAAAACATAATTGAGGTTGTAAGAGTTGTAAACAAAAAAAGTTGTAAACGTATTCAAATATCTAAAAGAAAATCATAAATTTTTGAATATTTTAATATAAAAAATAATAAGTCATATATTATTATCCAATAAAATATCAAACAAAAATATGATGATCATGATACGGGGCTTTAGGTTCAAAAAACGACATCTCTAATTATAAATCAAATCAAAATTGTCTACGTATTGCATAATTGCGATAATATTAATGTTGTAGGTACATAACTTATGTAAGTCAATAAGCAAAAAAATATTCAATATGTCCATCATGTTTTTCTTTTAAAGAAAGAAAATTTGGAATTTTTTTTTAGGGACCGGGCTGGGTCACTAGTTAACCAACCGAGTCACCGGTTTTCAAGAAAATCGGCCGGGTTAGACCGGGTCCAATAGCGGACCTAGAATTTTTTTATTGTCTGCACACTTGGAATAAAAGAATAAAGGAAAAAAAATTTAAAGAAAAATTTAAATATATTAAAATACAAAATAATATAAACAAAAAAAAAGAAAAGAAAATTTTAACTTAATATAAAAAAATAATCAAGAGTCAATTAAACTGTTACAATAGAACAATTTGGGTCCTCAATAAAAATTACGGACCTCAATTTAATCTCTTAGGGAAAAAAATTCTATTCATGATCTCTCAGAATTCAAAAAAAGACCCAGATAATCAAAATCATGGTGCTCTGAAATTCAAAAAGACCCACATTAATCCCTCAAAAGGACTAATATGGGTCTATTTTGGAATTTAAAGGGATCACGAGTCAATTTTTTTTTAAGAGATTAAATTGAGTTTTGTATTTTTGTTGTTGACCCAAAATATATTTTATTATTTTTTTCAAAAAAATTGTGTGTCCACTTGCACACACACAGATCCGTTACTGACCGGGTCATATCGATTCTGATGCATGGCCGATCCATTACTTTAACTGAACCGATTATTTAACCGATTTATCGATTTTCGGATCGACCCGACTAGATCGGTCCAGTTTTTTTTTTGCATTACATCGGTCCAGTTTTATTAACACTCTCGACCATTAAAATTGTTTTAAATGCGTTTGTCAAATAAATCGCCATAAGAGACACAAATATGGTCCCAATAATTGGACCATATATTTAACGTGGCGAAAAAAGCATTGTATTGGATTCATGTACATCAATGTTGATAAAGAATAGAGCGATAATACAATAACCGACTTGAGATTTTTTTCAAAGCCTCTCCTGTCTTTCTTGGTTTGATTGATTGCCTCTTTTGTTGTTTACGTAAATGCGTGCAATCAATGTCCATTAATGCTACTATATCGAGTTGAAAAGATAATTTCCAAATGAATTGCAAGCATTTTATATATTAGACACATATTTATATAAAATAAAATAAATATAAACAAAAACAAACAACTAATTTGAATGAGGAAATATTTAAAATTTAATAATATAAATTAAAAATATAAAAACTACTTATAATCACTTTTAATATTTTAAAATTTAAATTTTGAAAAATAAAGTATGAATTATATATTAATTAAGAAAAATAAATTAAAAAGATTTAGTCAATTTTAAGAGAGTAATATGAAAGGTTGAATTATTTTATATTTCATTAATGACAATTTTTTATTTTTCACAACTTACAAACTATATTATGTCTTACCGGTAAAAAATAAAGAGTTTTTAAATAAAAAATTTGTGAATATAACCTTTCTCTTTATTAATAATCTTTTCAATTACGAAAAAAATATTACTTACTTTTCAAGTTTTTGGAATATTAAATATTTTTATAATTTCGTTTCAAATTTTTTTTAAAGTAATTAGAATGATGTTGATAATCTATTAAAAATACATAGGATTCTTCATGTTTAGAACTTCAAATCATATTTTAGAGAGAGAGGATATTTTTATTACCAAATTTTTTTACTACTAACTTACTACCTATTTAATCACCATTGAATCAAAGAAAAATAATGTTAAAAAGTTTTTGAAAAAAGAGAAAATGTTGATCTAATGATTATTAAATAGGTAATGAGTTGGTAATAGAAAATTTTGATAGTAACAATATCCCTACTCTATTTTAGGATACCAAAGGTAGAGATATCATTGTCCGCTGGGAAACATGTTTGTGGTCATTACTTTTCTTACATAGCAAGAATCAATTATCAACAAAAAATTGGATCTGTCATTTATATTTAAGTAAAGCATTATCGTGTGCGCAACAATACCTTTCAATATAATTTGAATTTGATGGAGCGCACTATTTTAGTAGGTCCACTTCTTTGATATTAATGTGCAATGTGTGCAGTTTACCAACAACAACAAAAATGTGTAATGTGTGCCTTAACGCGCTAGTGGACAAAGTAGTTAAAAACTCGCTTTTAAATTTAAAATCGGCGTTTTTACCTCTCTCTTTTTGTATTAAAACGTTTTTGTAACATTTCCTTTGTTTTTACGTTTTTTTTATGGAATGACATAAAGTTACGTCATTTTAAGAGAGAGATAGATACACAAAATATTTTTTATTTAAAATTTAAATTAAAAAAATCACTCATTTTCTCTTCCATAATTTTTATTCCTTGTGTTTATCTCTCTCTTAAATGACATAAGTTATGTCATTTAAAATGACAAACGCCAAACTTTTTTTTATTATAATTTTACGTTTATCCATTTTTTACTCCCCTTTTAAGTAAAAACTCGATTTTATTAGGTGCTAATGGTGCGGTAATAAACAAAAACTAATTTATGCTTTGGAGCTACTAGTGTCGTTTTCACGCTAGTGGTGCGGAGAATTGGAAGTATTGGTGCTATTAGCGTCTCTCTCACATTAGTGGTGTGGAGAAGGAGAAACTGAAGGTAATTTAGTTGTTGACGCTGGCAGCATCATACTTGCCTTAGAAGTGCGGTTGGACAGGAGCTTGATTATTCTCTTTACTTGAGTTCTTCAACTTGTCTTTTTTCAATAGGTCAAAATTTCTATAAAAATATAAGAATTTCATGAAAATACTAGAGTAAATGAATAGTTTAATCACAATTTTTACTTTTTGTTATATTTAGATTGAATTTATTCTCACTTTGACCCTTAAAATATATTAAGCTGGACACACGTCAAACAATTTTCAAATTTTGATATTGTTATCATCAGACTAACAATGTGAAGCAAGGAAGCAAACTTGTGAGAAGAACACATGGAACTCAACTGCATGAAACATTGACTTAAAAAGAAAATGTTTAATAAGAATAAATTTTTATTCTATTATTTGTTGTGTTATCAAACACAATTTTCATTCTCGGAATAAAAATAAAATATTTTATCAAACACATTTTTTCTTTCAGAAATTTTTTCAAGACACAGAAATATAAAATAAAATCATTTTTTAAAAAAATAATATCAAAAAATAGAATCATTATGACGCACACCCATCACATCACAAAACTATGGTGACTGATTAAAAAAAAAAAAAAAAAACTATGGTGACTAACAGCCTGTAAATTAAAAAATCCCGTGCTTATTAAATCAAAGAGAAATTTAATATAATTAATACTAATATTTCTCCTTTTCATTATGTGTTAGCTTAATGAGCCGAAATAATGTTATTAATAAATGACTACTCCAAAGGATTCAACATTCAAGGATAATTTACGTAATAAGTATTTGAAAAAATTTAAAAATGAGTTTTAAAAAGTTATTAACTTATTATATCATTTACAAATTTTACAAATAGCAATGATTTTCTCTATCCACATGTGAGAAGATATTTTTTTTGTAGAAACATGGAAACATGGTGTTGTGTGTCAAATTTTTTTTGTTTTATTTTCTTTTAAAAAAATGATAGTCCCACCATTTTGTTTCAATAGGAGATAAGTTTTTAATTTCTGTAAAATAAGAAAAGTTTATCCCTTTTAGAAAATCTAAATCATTGCTTTTTCATTTTGCAATATGGACCTTACACGTGGGAGTAGGAACGATTATAAATCCACTAGGCGTTGGAGTCGCACACGTCAATATCTTATCGGTCACACTTGGTTTTTCAATCTAATCTAATCTGCTGTATATTACATAAATTAAAAATATTATATAATATCAAAATGTGTCCTAACATTCAAAATTTAATATTTTTTAGAATTAACGTGTCAGAATATCGTGTCGTGTCGTGTCGTATCCCGTGTTCTGTATCGATGTCGGTACAATATAGGTACTCGACAATGAACTGTGGCGTCGTGTATTTGATACAGATGCTCTTTGGGTCAGAGCTAATATTTTTGCACTTTATACCTTGATTAAGGGGTGATTTTGCTAGAAAATTTTTGTTTAGATTGTGAAAAACTAAAGATAGTAACCTAAGTTACCTACATTTAATAGAGAATTTCTCACAATTTTATCCGTAATGTGATTTTTCCATAATTTTATTTTATGAGTAAAACTTTACCAAAAATATCATCTAAGGTGATATTTTTGGATTCTCGTGAAAATAGAAAATTTAATATATTTATAATAATATTTTACAATCAACCAAACATAACATCAGGAAAATTAATTCAATATTTTTAGAATATTTTGACCCACTAAATAATTTTTATATTACATTTTTTGAAAAGTCAAATTC